TATAAACTACAAAATAGAATGACGTATATAATGAGATATACATATAAGGCTTACAGGATTCACTCCCCTAAGCGATGTGGGATGTTACAAGATTTGTCCCGCTTTAAGTAAATCTAATATATTTCGTGTAAATAAGTGTCTGTTTATACTTCAAATATATATAATTTCATTATAAACTACAAAATAGAATGACGTATATATTATAAAGTATTGGAACATAATGAAAACATGAGGAACAAGCATATAATGTGTGTTTATTTAAGTATTCAACAAGTCTCATACAATTTATTGGGAAAAAAGAAAATATAAAATGAAAGTTATTTATTTTCTGTCTAAGTGATTCACAATCTAGGCGGGTCTCTAGGCTGGTCTGGGCGGACCCCTCAGCAGGTGTAGGCGTCATTTCTTAATTTTCAAACGCCTAAGTACTAATTGGGACGGTAGTCAGCCGCCTAGCGCCTAGGCATGGTCTAGGCGGCGCTAAGTGAGGATTTTTAGAACAGTGCTCAAAACAAGTAGAAAGCCTCAGTCTGCATCGAACAGGTCCGGCTTGATTGTCTGCTCGGTTCTAGCTTAGCGCCTAGGTCGGGCTCAGTTCTATAAGTTGTAGTTCAAGCCTATAGTCCATCCACCAGTTTCTTGGCCAACACATAAATTGATCATAAACACAGTTAATTTCTGAAAGAGTGAAACTGATCCTTGGAAGCAAAACAAAATCTTGTTTAAATCATAAACACAGTTAATACGAAAGGAGGTTGTAAGAAGTTGAACTCAGTAGAATCAGCACGAAACACAAAATCTTGTTTAAATCTGAACAACGAGAAGGTGAAGGTCACGGTAGTCTATGGAGTCTAGCACGATTCAGAAAAGCTTGACATCCTGAAAATTTTTCTTCGTGTGAAGCAGTAAAAGTAGCACTTAAAAACAGATTGAACAGATAGAAGGCAAGGATTTAACTGTTTGCATATAGTATATTACACTAGAAGTTCCATTGTCATCTTTCGTTCCAATTTTCCGTGGCGAAGAACTGGAAAGCATATTGTAAATGTCGCTGGATCTCTAACAAAAAAAATTCGTGGGCTGCAGGACCTATAGCTTGTTTATTGGATTATACAGCTAACTAATTAAAATCGAGATCACATCGTACGATTTACATACATGAGCCTTATGATAAATTACCTCGATATGGAATTCTGCAACCATTTGTCATCTCTCTCCGCTTTATTTGAGTTTAAGCGGAATCCTTATTCCTTATCTGGCCTGCGAAAAAGCAATGGAAACTCGTCGTCTTGTCCCCTGAAACTGTGTTCTTTGCTCATACTCTTCAATGCATGGTAAACCTGGTACATAGACCACCTGTCTTTAGGCCGAGAAATCACACAACTACTAGCAATCTTCAGAAACTGCAAAATTTCCTCGTCATGCCCTTTTCCGATGAGAGCTTTATCGATGGCATCCTTGGTTCGACCAGAACTAGAGAGACGATTCACCCAATCCACTACATTACCCTTGAAACCTTCATCAGCAGTGCTGACTTCAAGAGGCTTTTGCCCGGTTGCCAGCTCCAGAAGCACAATTCCAAGTCCATAAACGTCCCCTTTCAGTGAAGCAACCAGAGTACTCGGATACTCTGGAGCTACATAACCAAGTTCTCCCAAGTCTCCGTTAACAAAACTGCTCTCCTTAGAATCAGAAGCCGTGAGCGTTGCCAATCCAAAATCCATTATCCTAGCATCAAAATCCTCGTCGAGGAGGATCACATTGGAGCATATGTTCTGATGCATAATCGGAGGTTGGCAACCGTGGTGAAGCCAAGAAAGTCCCCTGGCAGCACCCAAACCGATCCTAAACCTAGTCGACCAGTCCAATCCCTCACCACTTCCGTGCAACAACGAATGCAAAGTCCCACTCGACAAGTACTTGTACACCAAAAGCTTCTCCTCCTCCACAATGCAGAACCCCAAAAGGGGGGCCAAATTCGGATGTCTAAGTTGTCCTAACCGGTTCATCTCCAACCGAAACTGCTTCTCACCGAGCTTACAAGCACTAAGCCGCTTAATGGCCAGCGCCGACCCATCAGGCAGCAGAGCCTTGTAAGTTGTCCCTGTCCTAGTCGAAATGATCACATTTTTGGGGCTAAAATTATTGGTAGCCGCCATCAAATCCGCCAACTTAACCTTCACAAGTGGCTTCTGAAACAAGGAAACCTGAGTAAGCTTATGAGCCCTCAACCTCTCAGCCCAATCCTCCCTCCCAACACCATAACCTCCCGTCCTCCGCCGCTTACTCTGCCTCACATGGTACCACCACCACAGCCCCAAAAAAGCCAGCAAAGACGCCGCAGCGCCAAAAACTCCGGCAGCAATTATAATAGTAACACTCTTCTTGCTCAGACCACCACACTTCGACCCGAGAGGCCCGCCGCAAAGGCCGCTGTTCCCGGCAAAGTCCGCCTTATCAAACCCGTCGAAAAACGAAGGGATAGACCCCTTCAACTTATTATTCGCCACTGAAAACGTCTTAAGCCTACCCAAGCTAGAAAATTCATAGGGAATCGGACCCGAAAGCTTGTTGTCCGAAAGGATCAGAATGTTCAGATACTCACAGTGCTGCAGGTCCGGCGGGATAGCGCCGGAGAAGTCGTTCCCGGACAAATCGAGGGTCACCAAAAAGGGCAACCAATCGCAAATATCCGGGGGAATCGGCCCGGAAATCTCGTTCCCGCCGAGATCCAGCTTCGTGAGGCTGGCGCAGTACTCGATATCCTTCGGGACCTCGCCGGTGATCTCCATGTCTCGGAGCTCCAGACTAAAGATCCGATTCTCCCGATCGTTCCAGCAGGTGACGCCAACGAAATCGCAGATGAATCCGACGGTGTGGTTCCTGAAATCCCAAGACGCCAGCTTTCCGAGCGGGTCATTCAGCGACTGCTTCAGCCCCTGAAGGCACCTCACGTCGTCTTCGACCACGGCGGCGTAAGAGCAGAAATGGGTGCTCATACAGCCCCATAACAGTACCGGAATCCAAATCCTGGCGATGCGGGAATCCATATCCGGGCAATTCAGCAGGAAAAACAAATTGTGGGTTCTTCTTGGTGATGTCTGAAATGCTCAAAGGTCCGAACTTTTCGGTCAACTTTGCACGTATGATCCTGTAAAGGAAGAAGAACGTGCGATAGACAAGACGAGGGCCATTGACTTCTCTGCTTCTCTGTCTGAAAGTCTGAAATTATCAATTTATCAGTACAATCCAGTCAAATGAGTTGCTTGTAAAATCTTGGGTTGAATTTCTTCTTGGTTTAGTGGACAGGTGTTCAATTTAATTACTTTTTAATTAAGGGATTATTTGACCAAAAGGGGTGCCTACTACACTACAAAATGAATTGAATATGATACTTCCTTAATTGTTTAACTAACTTCCAATTAGTTTATAATTAATGTGAGTTTTAATGATAAGGACAAAATAAAGGGTAAAATGAATAGTATCAGAATTGACTTTTTAGTGTAAAAATGTGGTTTTTCGTTAAAGTGAACAGTACCGGATACTTTTCGTTAAAGTTCATTTTTATTTATGGTGATTTGTCCTTTATTGCGCAGCCAATCAGGGTTGGGCATTGGGCAATATGCATTTTGACTGCCACTAGCTATTAGCTAGTGGCTAGTATATTGGGTTGGAATTTATCTTTAGTATTGCTCCTCTACTTATCATGGAATTTTTTTTTATTGTGACAGAAAAACGAGTGATATATCAAGTGTTTTTATGTAAATAGTGAGAAATTTTATTTTTTAGGTTATTAACTTTTTAACACACATATTACATCATTTACATAATGATTAATGACATATGATGTACCACCTCTTATGCTGAGCACACTGAAAAATCTCTCATTATCTAATTTGTTTAGCTTCTAGTTTGGTCATATCATTCTGATTTATAACGTCATATTAATTTCAAAGCCTTGCTAACTACTAAGGCATGCTTAGACTCTTGTGACATTCTATTGTCTACAGAGAGAAACTGGTAAGGATGATGTTATACACACACTTCTTTTTACATTTAACATACTTCTCTTACTTTTTTCCCATAGATCGAATGAATTTAAAAAAAAATTATCAATGAACAAAATTTAATAAGGGTGTGTGAAAGGTAGAAAGAAATGTGTGAATAGCATTACCCAACCATAATGCTACAATAAATTTGTAAATGACTCATTTTATATAAAATTTATAAATTTCTTCACATGCATTTCAATGCCTATGAATGTCATTTCCAATCCCTTAATATTTTATAATATATTATTTAATAATTTAGTCTAAATGTCATCGTAGCAATCCAAAACCCATAGTGAAACTTGGAATTGAATCATTTCCTGAGCCCAAGGAGAGGATCCTCCTGATCAAGGAACATGGGTCATTGGATTTTTATCCAACAACTACAAATAAGAGGTCTCTTTAAAGTTATAATAATTATAGTCATTAGATGAAAATCCAACTGCCCACGTTCCTTGGTCAGGAGGATCCCCTCCTTGGGCTTAGGAGAGGATCCAATTCCGTGAAACTTTATACGAGGTCGTTATTCTAATGTGACATGTCAAAACTTAGAAGCGTTCATAATAGAACAAGGTTGACGTACAAATGTTTGGTCAAACCAACTAATTGTGTAAACTAAATCGTACTAAAATATAATCACGTGATATAACAGTTTATTTGATGTGTTATGAGCGGATGTTTAATTACGACATCATAAAAGAAGAAAATATCACCTCCATCGTCTCTGCGTGTTGTAACAAGTTTGACGAGTAATTTCACGTGGCTGTATTCTAATACAACGAAATAATATTTCCGGTCAAAGCATTGTAATTCAAATAGAATTAAGGGGCAATTAGGTAAAATTAGATAGAGAACGGACTTTCAGTTTCCTAACGGACAGGGGCGCACGCAATACGGCCAACTAGCGAAAACTCCCCCCAAGAGAAAATGGACGACGAGGCGCAGGTGAAATTCCCAACCACCTTCCACTACTACTGGTGGCGCCACTACCATCTCCGCCACTCCCGCCGCCTCGATTTCAAATCTTTTTATTTCATTTTGTGAAATCCGGCGCTGATTTACTTTGTTTTGCTGTTGATGGTGCAGAAAATGGTGGCTCTGAAGAAGGCGTACGCGGAGATAATTCTGAACACGGCGAAAGAGGCGGCGGCGAGAGTAATGGCGTCGGAGCGCAACGCTCTTCGGTACCAGCACGATCTGCAATTTACGAAAGGCGAAGCGCTTCGCGTGCTTTGCCGCTTAAAGCAAATGCTCGATTCCAAGGTTTGTTTCTTTCTTATTTTTCTTTTCTTTTATTTTTTTCCTTCTGAATTTTGCATCCTTGTTTTTTGAACCAGTTTTGATGATCGGATTCTTGTTCTTGGAAAGAGGGGTTTTTTATTTGTCTAAACTAAATGGAATCATCAATCTTGAATCTTTGTGATTTATTTTTTTTTTGATGGAATGTGAATGTGTTTGAATTCTGGAGGTTGTAATTGCGATTCGTTTTCGCGAAAGAGGCCATTTTCTGTTCTATTGAACTTAGATGAAGCTTCACTTTCAAAATTGGGTGTCTTTTTGTCTGCTGTAAAAGCAGTTTTCTATTTCTAAAAGCAAGAAAGCTCTTTGTTAATGTTTAAGCTCTGAATCTTTATAATCTAGTTTGGATGGAATGTGACTGTGTTAGATTTGAGAGTAATCGTGATTCGTAGTAGTGAAAGAAGCCATTTTCGGATATTTTGAACTTTGAAGAAGCTTGACACTTGAAGTTGGGATTCTTTGTGTCTTCTGTTACAACAACAACAAAGCCTTTTCCCACTAAGTGGTATTCTTTGCGTCTTCTGTTAAGGCAATTAAATTTCCCGAAAAGCAAGAAAGCATTTCCCGAACGCTAACTACTTGTTAGGAATGTCAATGTCATTGTTTAGCAGTAAGCTCTTTGTTGATGTTCACTCCTTGTTGATGTTCAATCAATCTACACATTTTTAAACTCCTGTGATGTATCTGTTATGCCTTGTCTAAATTTTCAGGTTCCCCCCTTTGTGATGTTTGGTGGTTTATACTGGCATCGTCTGGTGTTGCTTGAAGGTTCTTTAGATTCTCTTTGCAATAACACATGTGCAAATTGAGTGATACAAAGAGTTTTAGTTTTTACCTTACGGAATTTCTACTGATCACTACTCCTTGTATTTACTATAAGTGTTTTTATATTGGATTAATCGATATTTTAATTGATGCAGACTAGTGACGCGGAGATAACATCTTTGAGCCAACAACGAAAGATTGAAGAGGTTGAAGCGCAGCTCCAAGAGGCGGAGGATATCATAACTGATCTGAGATCAGAATTAAAACAAGTATGGAGTGAATTGGAGAGGCTAAATAACAACCAAGTGAAGCCTTTGGACGAACAAATCATGAGGGAAGATACATCATTTTCTGACAATCCGACACCTGAGCCCATCATACTATCTCCTTCAGGTTCAGGACATGAAACTGTTCCAACTTCAGGCCCAATGAACATCGAAGTAAATAGAGGTATTGAGCATAAGTTCTTTAATGAAATGAAACAAAGTGAGCAGTTAAGTGTTCCTGAATTGGATAAATTTTATGCCCCTGACTCTGACCTTGCCTCAATAATCATGAGCCGTAAGGAGCCAGAGCTGCTCAGAAATGGGTGTACACAGAGAATCCGTGCATTTGAAAGAAGCTTAATTGATGAGAAAGTGCTGCCTTCTGGATACGTAGACAATCACAATTCCCCCGGGAAGAATGAGTTGGTCATCAAAGAAATTGACGAGGAAGAAAGGTGTAATTTGCCCTCTTTTAGCGACAACAGCATGGAAGTAGTTAATGGGTTATCTGTGGGAAAAACCAAAAGTCATGCTAAAGTACACACATTACGCAGAAGAAAGACTCGATTTGGGAAATCCAAAACTTCACGCCGATGTCGTCCTAGTGAGCTCGTGAAATCTCACCAACCAAATTTTGTTCAATCTCATTGCAGAATATATTCTCTGAATGGAAATGATGGATCCCCTAAAGAAGCTTGCATCCTGCCCTCTATCAAGACCGAGAATGTAGCCATGACAAGAAGTTCCAGTGAGTTGGAAGAAAGTTTGCAGCATAGTAGCTGCTATTTCATGGACATAGTTAAGAATATTCCGAAGGGAAAAAGAAAAAGGAAAATGAAAAGTAAGGATGGCATTACAACCTCACTCACGAGTACTGATCAGCCGTCTTCTGTTCTTTCCCGCTGCAGGACTTTTGCATATTTACATCATGGTGGTTTGAAATCTTGGGAAGATAAACCAAACACAACTGAAAATGAGGCTAAGATGAAGCCATTGCCTCGTCTGGATCCTGGGTTGACATTAATTGGAAGTCATGTGGATCCTATATCAGGGTCAGCTAGTGTCAATGTGAGCATGAAGGGGATCAATAGATCTGGAGCTGTCCAAGATGCAGCAGACAAGGACATGGAGTTGATAGATGTGCCTGTGTTGATGACGGAAAGTGATGCTATGGAGAATTCAGAGGCTCCGAGTTCTGCACTCAACCTTGGTTCTGCTGATGTATCACTAATGAACTCTGAGTTAAAAACTGTCAAAGTATCATTGATGAATTCTGAATTAATACATGTGAATGCATCATTGATGAAATCTGAATTAAAAGATACAAGTGCATCATTGATGAGTACTGAATTAAAAGACGCGAGAGCATCAGAACAATCAAATGGTTCTCCTAGTCTTGTGGACAACAGCAGACTTCTCAAGTACACTTTCCAGAGGAAGCGCAAGAATTCCTCAAGAAACCCTGGTGAAACTGCTGCCTTTGAAGAGAACACTGCTAAGAGGAGGACGGAAGAGAAAGAATGTGTTGCACAACAGCCACAAACGACAAATGAATTATCTAGGGACAGCCGGCGACTAGCTCAGGTTGCTCGACAGGTTGGTTGCCAACAATCCTTTTCTTCACTCCTTCAATTTGAATTGAAACTGAGATAGCTTGACCTTGTTTTTCATAACTGTGAATTGTATTAGCACGCCAACGGCTAACTGCTAAGGTCACTTTGCACTGTGTTTGGGAAATACTTAGGCTGGGGAGGAAAGTAGCTCGATTAGGCAATCATGAACCACGACGTGTTACAACTCGCACATATTTGTTAAAATTTCATAGAGCACAACAAATAGAGTCAAATATTTTAATGTTTCATTGAAACTCAGGATCTTTAATTGAAATGATCTGAAGTATATTGTAGAGCTTTAATTCCCAGGGATAGAACTATAACATGATCACTGAAGATGGGAACTTAGCCGCTGTTTTCTCGCATATTTATGCTTTGATATATGGTTTGTCTGTAAAATTTTTATTTTTGGGGACTAGAAGTAACTTATGTAACCTCTATAACTCTATAATCTATATGCTTGTTAAGTTACTGCTACGGGGTGATTGATCTCTCTTAATCTTTCATTTGTTGGCAGCTCATATCGTTGTCTGGGAAGAGATGGGATTAACAACCCCCGATCAGAGGTAGTTTTCGAAAGAGAGATGGCAAGAGAGAGATTTATAAATCTGCAGTAATATCCGTTCATTTCTGTTAGTTTTCTAATTTGCATTTGAATGCTATTTTACAAATCCAATACCGGTGCCAAAGCTAACAGGTGACAAATTCAATTCCTGTCAAAACTTCCCCTAAGATGTCTTATTTAGGTCAGTTTGGCAAAAGGCAGGTGTGTCCGCCTGCTTGCACCCAAATCAATCCCTCGTAGATTAGACTAGTTTAGATTTAGAATATCACATTTCAAGCCAAAAGAATAATAACCAGTTCATAGCTGTCTAGTTTCTGAAAATTTGGGCCATTTCTTATTTGATTCTTTTTTATTTTGTTTTGGTCCGCAAAAGGGTGCAATCTAAAGCGATGCAATTCGATTCCAAAGGTCTACCCACAGCATAACAGCTGGTTATTGCATTTCAGTCCGGTTCGGTTCGATTTTAAACCATGCAATTTTTTTGTCCAAACCAAACCAGGTTCAGCTCGACCGGTTTGGTTGGCTGGACCATATTAATGTAACTGCTAAGCAAATGAGATTTGTTGAGCCACAAAGGCAAAACACTCCTCCAAAGAACTAGGGAATTGTCTAGGTAAAAATACTTGGTGGGAGTTCATGAATTCAAATCCTTTCTTAATTTTTGTGTCGAAAGCTTAATGGAGCAAAGAGTTCTGGCCCTTCAAGAGAGAGAAAGAGATTTAGGCCGCTTAAAGACTGTATAATTTAATTGATTAGTTTAAATTTCTTGATCCCTCGGCTTTGGACAGAGATCCGAAAACATTTGAAATCTGAGTTAGTGAGGCCATTTTGCCTGGTTGAGAGAGAGAAGGCAATTTGTGTTCCCTCTAATATTTTATTAGTAAAGCATATCTCATCTTCCTATGAAAATTTGAAAAAAATCCAGAAACCGAAAAGAACCAAAAGAACGATTGTCTGGTGTTGACAATGACAGCAGCTGCCGATGGTTGTGATGTAATTACGGTGGCATGTGGGGTCGTTTTCTGATGATGAAGCAAACAGGCGTGCTTTTTCGACCTTCACGTTCCATAATTCCGTTGCCCCTCCGTTACGCGGCAAGTCCCTCTTTTCCAACTTCCAACTTCGGATTCGAGTAAAAAGGCACGCGCCTTTCCTTACCTTGGTAAGTGATTCCTACTTCCCTTAATTTTTGCTTTTCTCAAAATAGAATTCTTTTTTATCTTATATTTTTTGTATAATATTTTATAATATTATTACGACAATTAATGTTGATTATCAAGTGACAAAGCCTCATTAGCATTTATCTTAAATCTAAATCAAATAATTTATTTTTCTCAATTTCATAGAATCAAGTAGAAGATCGATCTTGATAATCCAAAAAGTAATGATACTTGTTTGGGCACACTTGGATTAAAGCCAAGCACCAAAAACAAGGGAAAATTTTCGAGTTAACACGATATTTTGTTGCATAATCTCATTTATCATATTACTATAAATTACGTAATAGATGAGATGGCGTGATGAATATATATATATATATATATATATATATATATATATATATATATATATATATTCAATTAAATCTACGGATGTCTTCAAAATCAAACATTAGAAACTTGCATGGTTAAATCTAAAGTAGGAGAAATTGTCAAGACTATGTTTGATAAGAACTGCAAGGCTGCCTGACTATGACAACATTCATTGAGAATATATTTTTGAGAATTTAAGCCCAGCTAAATTGCCAAAATCAAGAGAAACATTTGAGGGTAATTGAGGATGTCCTCTATCGTACTTACTCTCATGATCAAATATCACGTAACAGGTGAGATAGAATGATAAACATATACTCTGATTACATGCAAGAATATTTCATGAACTAGCTAGAAGGCTAAATCTAAATAGGAGAAATCATATCATAACGGGAGTAAGATTCTCTCACATCCAAATCCTCTCTCTTCCCCACCTCATTCCTTCTTGTCGTTTTCTCTGTAAATAAATCATCACAAGATGTTAACGCAACTTAATCGAGAACGTTTAAATAGGAAGAAACTGAAAAATAAGAAAAATAAGAGAAGAGAGAATCCGGATCCTTCAAATGGTTCCAGTGCAGGTTGCTGATGGGAAGTACATGGAGTGCAGGGACTGCAGGCTTTAGTGGATTTATGTCTAAATGTCTCCCCTGAAAAGTGAAGCGCACTCACAAATCCCACAAAATCCGCTCCTTTGCCCAAGTAAATTTCGTGACCGTGTTCTCAGACACACTGAATTTTTTTTTCTTTTTAGATAAATCTCATTCCCTTGGTGTATATAAACCAAAGAGATGATATCACAATTTATACATGTAGAATTTGAACATCTTAAAAAACCAAACGCATCGATCACATGGAGAAGTGGAGAGAGAGTGGGAGAGTAAACACAGTTTTGTTCACAGCAGGAGCAGCTGTGGCAATGGCATGTTTAAAACGTGTTATATTAATGGTGTTTCTCATGGAGCAATGGCGGGCGTCGGTTTTCCTTCTGCTCAACCTCGTCCTCCTAGCCATTGTCTTCACCTCCATTTCTTCCGGGACCTCAAATATTAATCGGAATCGAGATTGCGAAAACGACAATGGCGAAGGGATCAAAAGCAATGGAGGGGGAAAGAGGAGAAGAGAATATCGGTGCCAATCTGCTCCTCAAGCGGTTGAAGAAGTTAAGGAATGTGAGGATGAAATGTGCAAGAGCTCAGCGCGCGGCGGCGGCGAGAGCGAGCAAGAGCGGGATGAAGACGATACGGAGGAGGAGGAGGAGGAGGTTCGGAAGCTGTCGGAGGAGGATTTGAATGAGAAAGTGGAAGCTTTCATCGTTATGTTCCGGCAGCATTTGGTTTCCGATGCAAGAAATTGATTGAGGTTTGAAGGGTTTAGGGTTTCAAAAAATCAGCATTCTGATGTTCAAACCTGTAATCTGTTTAAGCTATTGATCTTGGTTCACTCTTTATTTTTTCCATTTTCTTGATCAAAAGTTTCACTCTTTTATCTTGATTAAATTCTTGGATTTTACAACATTTTGATAGAGATAAATAAATAAAATGTACAATTTGATCTTTTTTAATTCATTAGATTTGACAGCTGAAAATTAAAAATGAAGTGAAAAGTAAAACGAGGTGTATGAATATTATTCCCAAAACTTTGAGTGTACCTTTTATATTATAACCTTGTAAAGAGATTTGTGTGTATTATGATATATATTCTTATTTTTATCTATGTTTTCACATGATGAAAATGTTTTCTTATGTACGAGATCACGTGAGAAGAATATAGATACGAACCCGAGCCCGCCATATGTGGGTAGCAACAATAACAATTAACTAAGGTTCTTTTTCCCACCCAAACAATTTTCCAAACACTTGACAAGGTATTCAATACTGTGAAAATGGGTGCTAAAATGGGAGGGCAAGATCGTAATTTGATGATTAATAATTGGAAAACGAAGCAAATGGGTCCCCAGTGAAGGAAGGTTGAGGAGTAAGTAAGCATCTCATTATAGTTCCAACATGATCCTCTCCGATCCTTTTAGGGTTTGTTTGTTTGCCTTCACTAAATATTTTTGGTCTGGACTGGACTAGCTATTAATCGAATATCGTGTTTGTTACATGCAGGAATAGATTTAATGAGATTAGAGCCGACTAAGTCCTTAGTTAGAAGGTCTTAGCGAGACGCCCTAATAAGCACAGGATTGCTAAGACCGTTCGTGTCCTCATCCAGTTGTTCTCCTCGCTTCTTTGTTTTGGTCTGGTCAACTGACCTCGCCGACCAACCCATCGATGGCGATGGCGACGATCGTCGACTAGATGTACTTGTTTTCGGCTCCGCACTTCTTCGACTTCATAAAGGACGAGAGCGAAGCCGAGTCTGCCATAGAAAGCTCTTCACTACCGACGGCATGGTCATTCACGTCGATTGGAAGAGGGGATGAGGATGGTTCATCGGAGAAGAGAGGTTAGATGAGGAGATTATGGTGGGCTTGCGGCTGGAGGTTTGATTCAGAGATGAAGGATCTCAATTAGGCAGAGGTCTGATAGACTGATTCGCTTTTTTCCATTTTTTCCCACAATTTTTATTTTTATTTTTTTAATCTTTTTCATTTAGGGGAAATTTATTGGCAGTGTGGATTTATTGTTTGGTTTGATTTGAATTGGGCATGGAAATCTTTGGTTTTTTTATATAGAAAACGAACTTATGGATTGGATTATGAGCTAATTTGCAATTTCTCCTCCTTCGTATTTTTCAATTTAGGATTTGATTGCAGGTTAGTTAGTATATGATGTTGTTGCATGAAATTGTGTTGCTATGATTGTATACGGTCCATTTTTCACTGTTTTCATTATCCTTTTTTTAGTCCGACATAGCATCAAACGCTTTATTACGTTAATCCAGCTTAATCTATTCTAAGCCAGTTCAGCTTAATCCTAAAAGTTAATCCGGTCCGAGATAGTTTGGTGCAACAAATGCACCCTTAGTGAGGATCCTGGAGATTCGTAAATCGTGTTCGTTCATCGTACATCATGCAGTTAGTTTTTATCAAGTATTCTTTGTATTTAACATTAAATAAAAATATTTAAAATAATTTTTAACCGTACGATGTACAATGAACGGATATGATTCACAAATCCTTGGAATCTTCACAAAGAGGATCCGGATTCATTATAATTTGAGGTAGAAAGGTACTGGAATCGCATCTATTTCGTTCCATGTATCCAACAAAAATATATACCTTGTTTTATTATTATTTTTCTTATGAAAAAAGGGAAATACATTAGATAGAATGACTTCAGTTCCGATGGAATCAAAGAGATGGGCACTTTTCGCCATAAGGAGGCAGTGACCCGTCGCCATAAGGAGGCAGTGACCCGTCCCAAATATGAAATCATTAAAATGAAATCCTATGCTGGTAATTATATCCGCCAACAAGATTGCTTCTCTATAAACTAGACCCAAACAATTATCTAATCGAAGGAGAATGTCTTAAATAATATTTTTGGGATGTGCTATCCACACACCCTAAATTACTTCTCACACACCTTTGTTAATTTCTGTTCGTTGATATTTTTCAATTCATCCAATCCAACGGCCAAAAATTAAAAAATATATGAAAAGTAAAATGAAGGATGTGAATATCACACTCCTACTTCTTAGTCGTCAAAAAAAGGCGCGAGACCCTTTGTATTTGATATATTTTCAGTATGATAATACTTTGTACTTTGGGTCTACATTATTGAACCTCCACAAAAAGAAACCCATAAAAAAATTAAAAATTAATACTTTGTACTTTGTGTCTACATTATTGAACCTCAACAAAAAGAAACCCATAAAAAATAAAAAATTGGATTTTTTATTTATTTTTCTTGCAATTGAGGATAAGTTTGGACCAGATGATATCCGACCGGCCTACTTAAAAGACCACCCTAGATGCTAAGTTGGGTGGAAAAAGAAAAGGACTTGTCTGCCCTCTTAGTTATGGTGCCCTTCCATGCCCTCCTATTTTGTGCGGTCACGGTTAAACCACGTCAATATTTTATATTAATTTTTTAATAAGATAATAAGACAAAAAATAATAAAAATATAAAATATTAACGTGACTTAACCGTGACCGCACAAAATAAGAGGGCATGGAAGGGCACCACAACTAGGAGGGCAGACAATCCAAGTCCAAAAAAAAATGAATTGAACAAAATTGTGCAGCTGACAAAAACTGTGATATGTTATAATGATAAATTTTGTTAGATTAAATATCAAATTAAATACGAATCTACACTATCATACAAAAATTTAACATTTTTCCACTACTATAGTAAGGGACCATTTGATTTTAGGAAACTTTAATGAAAAACTCTCGGTACTGTTCACTTTAACGAAAAACTACATTTTTACACTAAAAAATCAATCCTGCTACTATTCAATTTACCCTTTATTTATCTTTACCGTTAAAACTCAAAGTTTTCAAACTTTTTTCATTAATTTTCCTTTGATTTTAACCGTTTCACTTTGATTTTTGTATTTTCTTATTAAAAATTTAAACGGTTAAAAGACCTCAAAATTGCTCTAGAACACCATAAAAAATCTTCGTGTATATATTGTTTTGTCATGTTATGTACTTCATGTGCTTGCACAATAAATTCAAACGTACAAGTCGCTAGTGTCATTACTACTACCATGGGCCACATATCCATGCTCCCACATGGACTGATGGTGAGATGATCTGTCATTAATAGTTTTGTTTTTGGCTATTAATCCTTGTTACGGGTTTTTACAACAACTTATCATATATAAACCAGAGTCCTTAAGCTTAATCCTTCGCGAGACTCGTTTCTATCATTGGCTTAACACCTATTTACATACGAGCTTTACAACTGTCTTAGCTTATCATATTTTCAAAGAGTCACTCATAAATATGCAGTGCAACGATCGATCAGTAATTTACGTACATTCATCAATGATCGATAGACAACCAGTATAAGTCAAACAAATGATTAATAAAAAACACTATGAATTGGTTCCTTAGGTTCATTTCGTTTAATTAAGGAGTCAAGATCCTCTCTTAATCTCTATGTCCGGAGCTCAAGGACCCAAAAATCCGAGCCATTGAAGAGAGAGAAAGAGGGATTCAAACTCATGGTTTGTGTGAAATGAGCCAGCATAATGAGCTAATGAGGATCACACAATTTAAAATGAGTGATCCAAATCTCAGAAATTCTTTAGCTTCAAACTTAAAATTCAAAGAGAATCTCAACTCGTAATTAAGGGGCAGCAACGTACGAAAGAGATTCTAGCTTGTTGATTGGACTTGGACCACTAGCCTATAACTTGGCTTTAAATTGTTTGATTTGGACATGTAATAAACTTGTCACGCAGAAATCCCACAACACCAACGTGACAAGCACCAACCTAACCAACCCTAATAAACCAACCAAATGATAGAATCACTGCGAGGCCAATATCTTTCTTCATAGCCCTATTAATCCTCCATTTGTTATCCTAATTCCAACCCACCTTTTACTTCACCCGCACGGTATGTTTTCTCTCTTTTGTTTGCCGCAGGATCTGTATTTTCCCTCAGCTTCTTGTGCTTGTCTGTTTCTACGCTTTCAAATCCTTGCGAATACGGCGGGTTACACAATGATCTTACGGCTAAATCCGCGTTTTGTTTTCGTGTCCAGAGCAATGCGACTTGAAGCCGCCATGGTAGGAGGGGAACAACTTTCATCTGATCAGCAAGGTGCAGGAACAGCTTGCATGGACAACGAAAGACGGGATGGTTAGGGATGGACGGAGAGGATCATAAATCGAGGAGGAGAAGGTTTAGAAAGTGGTTCAAGAGAAAGCATAAGAGAGCTGACCCCTATCAACTGAGTCAAGTTTCAGGTTTTGTTTCTTCTATCTATGCATCTGATATCGACTTCTTGTTTCTTCCCACAGCGTAAGTTCAATCCGGACTGAAGTTTACTCAACTTTTCTTCAGATGGGGGCAAAGATGAAAGCGGAGATTACTTGGATGATATTCTCTTTCGGTCCATGGAGATGGATCCAGGCACTTCAACTAGTGAGCTGAGGTAATTTTTCGATTTATGGAAGAAACAAAGCAACGAGAAAGTGTATGATCTTCGTAGTACTCCGTCTGATAACCATTTTCGTTTGTTTTAGAATCTTCGTGGGAACTTGGAATGTTGCCGGACGGTCTCCGGTAGGGAGCTTGGCAGTAGATTTGGATGAGTGGCTGAATCTTAAGGATGATGCGGCAGACATGTATGTTCTCGGGTATGTTATACAAATTTCGACCTCAACATTACTTATAGTTTCAGGATATCACAAGCTAGAATCTCAAAACTAGTAATTTTGCTTGCAGATTTCAGGAGATCGTACCTTTGAGGGCCCGAAATGTGATAGGAGCGGAAGACCCAACCGTAGCAAGAAACTGGAACCTGCTGATAGGAAAAGCTCTCAACGAAAAATTCGGGTGCCCTTGGTTGACGCCCATTGTGAATCCAATTTCAAGTGAGAACTACCACTACGTGCAAGTTTCCGAACCCGAACCTGAAATCACGAGAGAGCAATCAAGAACCCTGCATGAAAAGCCAAGGAGTGTGAGTAAGTACAAGCTGATGGCAAGCAAGAAGATGGTAGGAGTCTTCATTACTGTATGGATGAAAAGTGAATTGGTAAAAAAATATGACATTTCAAATGTTAAGGTTTGTTCCGTGGCCTGCGGCATCATGGGTTATTTGGGAAACAAAGGCTCGGTTTCAGTTAGCATGACGATTGAAGGAACTAGTTTTTGCTTCGTTGTAGCCCATCTAGCTTCTGGTGAGAAGAAAGGAGATGAAGGCAGAAGGAATCATCAAGTCGCAGAGATTTTCAAGCGAACTTCTTTCCCTCGATACCCTTCAGACGACGATATTCCTCATCCTCTCACCATCTTAGGACACGAGTAGGTGTTCCTCATCCTAAATCTGACAATGATAGAAGGACAAATTTGACAACTAGTAGTTCAAATTTTTTTTGCTTTAATATAACTATATTGCATACCGAGCAAGATTTAGTAAGTAATCAAAATTCGATACTCACAGGAGTCAGTCAAAAATTAACCAGATTTCAAAACCAATAAGGTATCTGGCTGACCCAATTAACTTGATGAGTTAAAATTATCGAAGAATGTATGAAGTCATCCTTAACGAGCTAATTTTTCTGTTGTGAAACAGTCGGATTTTTTGGTTTGGGGATCTAAACTATAGGCTATACTTGGAGGACAATTCAGCCAGGCAGCTGATAAGGAAACTAGACTGGAGAGCATTGCAAGAGTTTGATCAGCTTCGTATGGAACGGGAATATGGTGGGGCATTTCAGGGTTGGATGGAGGGAGCTTTAGAATTTGCACCTACCTATAAGTATTCTTCATCAAACTGCAATCGCTATTCAGGTGGGCTTCCAAGCAGATCAGGAGAGAAGCAAAGGACTCCAGCATGGTAAGAACCACCACCATGCTACTAGATGTTTAGCTCTCACAGATAAATGTGGCCACAACACAATAGACCAGCGATAGCTTTACCTTAGAGACTCATGAGGACCTACCCTAGACTAAGTTATCTACCCCCGATAGGCCTCCCACGAGCCTTTATCTACAAACAGCTTAACTTCTTTCTTCTGCGACATAAAAACTAAAGAGATAATTTGATTATGGTGGCAGGTGCGATAGAATTATGTGGTATGGAAAAGGAGTGACACAGCTCTCTTATTTCCGTAGTGAAAGTAAGTTCTCTGACCATCGCCCTGTCTCTGCCCTATTCGCAACACAGGTAGACGTACTGCAATCTACTAATCCAAGAATGGTTTCAATTCATACCGTTCTTCCCATCATACCAACTCTTAAAGAAATTGTAAGTTCTCTCTAACAGTGTCAAGTATCAGTACACTATACTCATGTTCAATTTGAGTTTTATAAGGAGATGAAGCTTTTGTTGTTGAATAATGAGAATAAATTTACCGATGCAGGTACAGAGAGACCATGACGAAGAGGCCAGTTCTACATTATTATCAATGATCTTAAAGGATATAGAAGAATCACCAGCAGGAAATGCAAGTTGTATAGAACAAATAGATGACAGTGGTTGCAGCTAGCGTTTAGCAAGTTGTGTTCTTCGATGTATGCTCTCAAATGTTTATAGAAATGAAGCTGAAATAATATATAGAAAGGTTTAAAATGCAAATTCAGCAGTACAGAACCTTAACAAAGTCAGAGGCAAACTGGGGTCACTGATAAATTGTGTAGGAGTGCCATAGATTTATAGTTCTTCAAGTTCTCAATTGCAGTACATTACGTGTTAGGTTAAACGAACATATAAAGTGTAGTTATGAGAAGTAGATTATTACTTACAAAATGTTAATCTGCCTAACTTGACTGAATCAATCCACCCAGGACCTCCACGTTGTCAAAATGACAACTGGGACAGACACATCTGCTCTGCAACGTCTCACCAACGGTAGCACAGATCTGTTCCAATTCTGAAGTCTGCTTGTTTCCCGTCAAAGGCAAAATATATGTAGGTCATGCTCACAAATATGGCATTTAGCGCAAAACTAGACCTTAAAATCCAACATAGCAATTGAATTCTAGACTAACTAAAACAGGCATTCACTTGGGAAGAAAGCTGTCCAAGAAGCTTGTACAAATAGCCGATGTGGATTTGGGTTGCATTCAATTATGGCAGTTTTCAAAACGATGAAAATTGCAAGTAGCCAACTGTTCTTATGATTGTGCTTAAGCATTGAACAATTTCAGTAACCAATGTATTCTTAAAAAGGATATCTTGTCACATCACACACTTCTTTCGTTGCTTTCAACGTCTCCTCCATTAAGAACACCTCCCTTCTGCAAGCACTCAGCGCCTGCTGGACCTGCAGAGGCAGAAGTGTTAAGCTAAGCTTTTATCAAACTGTAAAGTTAACCATTTGTAATGTTTCAAAGACCAATTTCTTCACCTGCTTTTGAGTATTCTGTTCAGCTTCGTATTCTTCTTCCGCTTTGGTTGCCTGAGACACCACACCAGCAAGCATATCCTCAAGTTCTCTTAAATCACCTTCAGTAACCTCCTCCTTTCCTACCTTGGGATCTTCTTCTGAAACAAAATTGCAATTTCTTTCAGTTTCTACCCACACTACATTATGGGATCATTTTGTTCCAATTGTGAGAGAGATTTCTTTTGAGGAGTAACGAGAGATGGAGGATTTTAATCCATAACAAACGGAAAATTCAACAAATGAATTGGAATAAGATGGAACAGCACATGTTACGAGATCAATTCTTCTGGTTAATGGCTAAACGTACACAGGCCATCACCTTCTGCACTTCCACTGTACTCTTCCTCATGAATATGGCCAGCAATTGACTCTTGGAACCTCCTGCATTCACAAATGCGAAAGTAGACTATAATGGGGCACCAGAAATACGTCACGCATTCCAAATTATTTGTGAACTTCTTAAGAACTGCAGCTTCGTCGATCAATTCATAAAATGTGAAAACTGATCAAAGCAAAATTCAGTTAACTGTCTGTCAAGATTACGAAAATGCCTCCTCTTCTTCGTTACATGCATAAAATGTAGCATACAAGTACAACATTTTCCTTCTAAAATGATGCTAACCTTATCTTAGTGTTTATCTCAATCATTTCACTTATAAACTCGTCTCTGCATAAACAATTACTGAAAGTAATTAATAGGAAAGCAATTAGATTTCGAAAAGAAATGGAGATGTGGAATTTAATCGAAAAACAATTAACATGAAAATTTCATACCGCGAAGCAGCTTGTTTGTTCTTTTGCAAGATCCAAGCACAAAAATAACACAATGAGGATCAGTAACCAAACATTTTGCTAACTAATTACAAGAAACTGAAATTCCAAATACCTTGAGAGCTTCGACTTCAGATCCAACGTCGGAAATCTCTTCTTGTGTATGAGAAATCCTCAACTGAATTTGAAAAATCAGATTAAAACCTAATCACATCAAGAACAAAATCACTCAATTCAAAAAATGCACAAAAATAACGAACAAACCTCCAGCGTTTGAATTGCTGCTTCGTTCATCGCCAATTCAACTTCGTAGCCTTTGATCTCTTGCTCGGTGTATTCCTTGGCGCGCTTCGCTTCTTCGAGCTCTGCATTTGCAACTTCCAGCTCGGATCCGAGCTCGTCGATTCTCTTCCTCAGACTTACCACTCTTCGCTCTGTATTTCTCAAATCGTGCACATTAAAGTTCTTCAGTTCAATGTCTAGCTAAATTTAGTGAAATAAAAAAATCGGAACTCTACTTGCTCGTTTCTCGAGAAAATTGATTTTTCAAATTTTCCTTTTCATCCACATTTTCTCGGGAACCAAACAGAGTAGCGAATGCAGAACGGGAAAAGGTGTGTAGGTAAGAACTGTACCTCCGTGCGACTTTTCAGATGCGAAATCGTTAATTAAGTTTAGGAGCTGCTTCCGAGCGTCGCTTCCCGCCATGACTTGTGTGCTTCTGTTTCGCGCTTCTTCCTACTCAAACAGTCTCAGATCATCACACTCGACCGCGGATCTATTTTCTCATATGCGAGATCATAAATTCATAATGGTCTTTCAAGCCCAAGACTAGGCCCATTACCCTTTTATTAAAGGGAGTTTTAACGAAACACTTTCTGTACCGTTCACTTTTAACGAAAATGACATTTTTACTTTAAAAAGTCACTCCTAGTACTATTTACTTACAACATTTTTTTGTTTTTTTTATTAAAATTCAAAGTTTTCAAATCATTTTCATTAATTTTTTCTTTTATTTAAATTTTGATGGTCAAGCCCAAAAAGGGCCCACTACCAGCACTAGGAAAAATAGGTCATGTTCGACTTTTAATAAAGGTGCGTTTGCAAGTTGGATAATGCTAGGAGACCAAATTTTTAAATCAAATTTGCAAACCAAATGGTGTGTCACCAATAGGAAATAAGCACGTTAATCGACACTTATGTAATAATTCAGCCATCGTCAACATCCACATCATTTGATTTGCAAAATTTAGTTTATAAATTTGGTCTCCCTAGCATTACTCCTTGCGAGTTTAAGTGCTTATGCGCGTTTACACATATATTCGAGGTTTTACGCTTTGAATGTCCCCGAAATGACCATGTGTAGTAGTGTTTTAGTTATGGATATAATGGATATATGTGCTTCTAATAAACACTTGGCATACGTTGAGTCTTTAGATGTGCGGTCCTTTTTTTTTTTTTAGGAAGATGGTTTGTGTCTTGCACACTGACAAATAGTTAATCTCGCCTAACACACTTCTATAAAAAAAAAATACAAAAAAATAAAAATCATCGCTTCATCTCTGTATCTATGTGACTAGATTACCACCTATGAGTCCAATATGGAGTGATTAAAAGTTGAGGTGATCTCTGCATAGTAATGTCATGACAATCCGCAATGGTACCGTCCGGTTGCATTCCATTCGAAGCTGAAATGGAAGGTGACTTAGCCAAAACCCTAAGTGGCGGTAGGAGAGATTCAGCCTTACAATAGAAGTGGTGACACAATACATATATCGCGGTTGCGTAACAGTGTTTTTTGTTTTTGTTTTGTTTTTTTTTTCATGTGCTGGGTGGATGAGGTGAGAGATTGCTGGAATGATTCTTTTCGGATTCTTTTGGTGAGGATTTTAGATATCTGTGAATCGTATTCGTTCATCGTATATCGTGCGATCAATTTTTATCAGATACTATTTATGTTTAATTTTAAATGAAAAGATTTAAAATAATTACTGATTGCACGATGTATGATGAACAGACACGATTCCTGAATTCTCGAAATTCTCATAAAAAGAATCCGGCAAAGATTCGGATTCGAAATAGAGAGATGTGCCTGCAGAAAAAGCTGTTGCATGGTCATGTTGGACGGCTGGTGGGATGTCGGCACATAACTGTCATAGTACTATTTTTATCCACTTTTGCTGGTTTCCATTATCAAGAAGCATATAATTTCAACAACGGAAATGCAAAGGGATTATTGATATACATTTGGACTTCTTGGAGAAGTCGAGGTTTCATAAATATTGGTAATATAAGAAGTATTTTAACTACTTATAAATATATAAGTATCGAATTTTGAAACTTAATATGTAAACAACACAAATTGAATGATGTGAAACATGTGTTGCAGTTGAGTTTCACTCATATAAGTAGTTTAACTATTTATAAGTACATGCAATATTTCTTTTTTTCTCAATGTGAGATTCAACCTCCACAATGTTTCCCTCCAAACAAAAAGTATTTTGCCTTTGTGCATGTTTTTTTTTTTATTCATCTCATATATATCTATGTAATTTTACATTGCCGGTCCCAAGCCCGGATAAAGGAGGAGGGGGAGGGCGTCAGGTAGTCGACAGCCGGCACTCCATGATCACGTCGAATCCTTATGAAAATGAATCCAGAACAAAATCGCGCTAAAGCTAGGGCGTCACCCGTAAGTGGCGCGCTGTGTGGCCCGAGCACAGTGATAAGTGAGCAAGGGTCGCTGTATCTCCATCGGCACCCGGATGCAGTGTTAAATGAGCAAGGGGGCCGTAGAAACTTCTTTTCGAACGACTCCACTCAAAGTTGTTTGGGGGCATATGCTCCTATCAACTTTACACGGGACACACAAAAGAAGTACTTTGATCCTATTAGACGGGGGAGGGTGAAGAAGTTAGGACAGAAGGGTAGAGTTCAAGAGAGCAAAATGCGTTTAGGAACGTGGAATATAGGAACCTTAACGGGAAAATCTATGGAAGTAGTGGAAGTTATGGTGAGGAGAAGGATAAATATTATGTGCCTACAAGAAACTAAGTGGGTTGGTAGTAAGACAAAGGATCTAGAAAACTCAGGGTTTAAACTTTGGTATTCGGGCACAAATAGAACGAGAAACGGTGTTGGCATCATCGTGGACAAGACCTTGACACAAGATGTTGTAGATGTCAAGAGGGTAGGAGATAGAATCATGGCAATCAAGATTGTAATAGGACAAGAACTTATCAATGTGATTAGTGCGTACGCACCTCAAGTAGGGTTGGATACGAGTTCGAAGGAGAAATTTTGGGAAGACCTTGGAGACTTGGTGCAAGGAATTGCTCAGACGGAGAAGTTATTTATAGGAGGAGATTTAAATGGACACGTGGGCAGGGAGACAGGCAACTATGGAGGTTTTCATGGTGGCCATGGTTTTGGGGAGAGAAACGAGGATGGGGAAGCTATCTTGGATTTTGCAATGGCATATGATCTCTTCTTAGCCAACACCTTCTTTAAGAAGAGAGAAGAACATGTGATCACCTACAAGAGTGGGTCGTCAAAAACACAAATAGATTTTCTTCTAATGAGGAAAGGAGATCGTATAACTTGTAAGGATTGCAAAGTTATACCAGGAGAGAGCGTGGCTAATCAACATCGCTTGTTGGTGATGGATGTACATATCAAAAGAGTGAGACAAAAGAACAAGACTTGGAAGTGCCCAAGGACTAGATGGTGGAATCTAAAAGAAGAAAAACAAGCCATTTTCAAAGAGAAGGTAATCACCCAATGTGTGTGGGATAGAGAGGGGGAAGCTAGCCAAATGTGGGATTCCATGGCTAGTTGTATCTGAAAAGTAGCAAAAGAGGTATTAGGAGAGTCCAAGGGCTTTGCCCCACACCAAAAGGAATCTTGGTGGTGGAATGAGGAGGTACAAACAAAGGTGAAGGCTAAGAAGGAATGTTGTAAAGCCTTATACAAGGAGAGGACCGATGAAAATGGTGAAAGGTATAGAAAAACGAAGCAAGAGGCGAAGAAAGCTGTCAGAGAAGCTAAGTTAGCGGCTTACGACGATATGTATAAACGACTAGATACCAAAGAAGGAGAGTTGGATATCTATAAACTAGCTAGAGCAAGGGAAAAGAAGACAAGGGACCTCAACCAAGTGAGGTGCATCAAGGATGAGGATGGAAAGGTTCTTGCTACAGAGAACGCGGTTAAAGACAGATGGAGAGGTTATTTTCATAATCTTTTCAATGAATGACATGAAAGGAGTGCTTCTTTAGGGGAGTTGAGTAACTCAGAAGAGTGTAGAAACTACTCTTTTTATCGTCGAATCCGGAAGGAAGAAGTGGTTGTAGCTTTGAAGAAGATGAAGCATAGAAAAGCAATAGGCCCAGACGATATACCAATCGAAGTGTGGAAAGTTTTGGGAGAGACAGGTATAACATGGCTCACTGACCTTTTCAATAGGATTTTGAAAACGAAGAAGATGCCAAATGAGTGGCGAACGAGCACTTTGGTGCCTATCTACAAGAATAAGGGCGACGTACAAAATTGCATGAACTATAGGGGTATTAAGTTAATAAGTCATACAATGAAGCTCTGGGAGAGAGTCATTGAGCATAGATTGAGGCAAGAGACACGGGTTTCGGACAACCAATTCGGGTTCATGCCAGGGCGCTCAACCATGGAGGCAATCTATCTCTTACGAAGATTGATGGAAAGATATAGAGATGGGAAAAAGGATTTACACATGGTCTTTATAGATTTGGAAAAGCGTATGATAGGGTCCTAAGAGACATTCTGTGGAGGATTTTAGAGAAGAAAGGAGTACGAGTAGCATATATTCAAGCTATAAAGGATATGTATGAAGGAGCAAAGACTGCCGTAAGAACTCATGAAGGACAAACCGAAAGCTTTCCCATAACTGTAGGATTACATCAAGGCTCATCCTTAAGTCCTTACCTTTTTGCGTTGGTGATGGATGAGTTAACAGGACATATTCAAGATGATATTCCTTGGTGTATGCTTTTCGCAGACGATATAGTGTTGATAGATGAAACTCAGGAAGGGGTAAATGCAAAGCTTAACCTTTGGAGAGAAGTGTTGGAATCTAAAGGTCTTCGCCTAAGCCGATCAAAGACAGAATATATGGAGTGCAAGTTCAGTGCAAATGGAGGCCAAAACGAGTTAGGGGTGAGGATCGGAGATCAAGAAATACCAAAGAGCGACCGTTTTCGTTACCTAGGATCTATCTTGCAAAAGAACGGAGAATTATATGGAGATCTCAACCGTAGAATACAAGCTGGATAGATGAAGTGGAAGAGTGCATCTGGCGTGTTGTGTGACCGCCGTATGCCACTGAAGCTCAAGGGAAAATTTTATAGGACGGCAATAAGGCCGGCGATGCTGTATGGCACAGAATGTTGGGCGGTGAAGCATCAACACGTACACAAAATGGGTGTAGCGGAGATGAGGATGCTTCGTTGGATGTGTGGGCACACGAGAAAGGATAAGATTAGGAATGAGGATATCCGGGGTAAAGTAGGAGTAGCCGAAATTGAAGGAAAGATGAGAGAAAATCGGTTACGGTGGTTTGGACATGTGCAAAGAAGGCCTACTGACGCTCCGATTAGAAGATGCGACTATGGGACAGAGGTTCAGGGCCGAAGGGGTAGAGGAAGACCTAGGAAAACTTTGGAAGAGACTCTAAGAAAAGACTTAGAGTACTTGGATCTA